CCCCAAAACCCCAAAACCCCAAAACCCCGTTAAGTTAAATAACTTTTTTATATAAGGAATTACGAAATAAATAATTTTTGTAAATAGTAATCTATAAATTACTCTGCTAATATATTTATTCATTAAAATTTGCTTGTTAGAGCTCTTAATGAGAGTCCAGTAATTATCCTGAAAATAATAGTGAAACCAAAAACAATCCACAAACACTTTGACATGCCTAGTTTGTAATCTAAAAAATCAATAATCTATCTTTCGTCTGGTAAGTAATCTCTTGAACCAAATTCATTGTAAATAAAAGCCTCTAATGTGTATCTAATGGGTGAAAGATACTGGATCCATCCAATCCATGTTGGGTATGAACCAGAATTTGAGAAAAAACCACTAAATAGTACTAAGGGAAGGACCAAAACAGGAGCAGCAGTTACAGCCATCTCCGAATTATTAAATAAACTTGAGCTAAATATTCCAAGCGACGAAGCACAGAAAGAGAGCTAAGTCAAAATTAAGTAAAAGTAACCGAACTATTCTTTTGTCCTACTTAATCCGACTCCAAAATAGAGTATTATTTCCCAAAGAAATGGCTATAATAGTAATACTGGAATCTCAACTACACTTTTGGACAAGTAATAGGGAGCTATGCCATACATTTTATTTGCAAACTCTCTTAAAAATACTGGTCTTTCCTCTTAAAAAGCTAATAAATTACTCATGGAATGAGCATAGAGTTGTTGAATGCAGGTGAAAAACAAAAACCCTGCAAGCCCAATCTATGTCGAAAAATCATTGTTTGATAAATTTCTAAATAATCCCAAGCTTAATATAGCAATGAAAATTGTTTATAAAATTCTTGCACTCCATTAGTGAGGATCGTACTTTGCTTAAATTAGGGACCTCTCAATAAGTACTTTAAATTATTTCCAACTGCTTGCCTAATTAGATTTTAAAATATCAATTTCAAATTCAGCCAATAAAATTTCTGAAGATTATTTCTAGACTTCCTTCGACTATATTTGCTCATAATTTTGCATGAGATATTTGATTTTTTTCTCATCATCTCTTTCTTTCGGGTAATTCACAGTAGCTAGCTTCATGATGTAGTCTGAAGGATTTGAAAATCTAGGAAGTGGTAAGCCAATTTATGCAAAATAGTTTTAGCATAATCTTGCCTCTCCTTGATAAATTATTTAGCCGTCACACATAAAGATTAATCGATCAAAGAGGGCAAATTATTCTGAGCCAGGCTAATGAATAGTAGAAATCACTGTTTTTCCCTTTCTAGCTTATCTATTCAATAGCTTCACTATTTTAAGTGCTTTGAAGCTATCAAGACCAGACGTTGGCTCATCCAATAGAATTAGTGAAGGATCTGTAATTAATTCAACTCCTATAGACACTCTTTTTCTCTCACCCCCAGATAGCATCTTTTTTCTTTGACTTCCTATTATGGTATCAGCTTATGCTTTCAATTCTAATTCTTCTAACAGTGATTCAACTCTCTCATCCTAGATCTTCTAGGAATATTAATTCAATTTAAGTCTAGCTGCAAATGTTAGAGCTTACTTTGGAGTAAAATATGCAAAAAGTATGTCGTCTTACATAACATACCCAGCTACAGATCCAAAAACTTATGAACTAAGTTAAGTTTTATCATTTATTAGTATTTAACCCTCGATAGTAGTACCGGATCTCTTTGAAGTCCTATCACTGAGAATATTTAAAAGAGAGGTTTTACCTGCTCCTGATGATCCCATTATGTATAGAGTTTATCCTGGCATTGCATAACCTGTTACATTTTTAAGGATTTACTATTTGACTACTTTTTAATCAATATCCTTTTTCTTGTCTTTGTTTAGCTCATTAGTGATTTCAAATCTCACATCTTTGAATGTTAATTTAATTGAATTCTTCCTTATTTTAATGACATCCCTTGCTATTTATGCTAGATCTTCGTGCTTTCTTTCGAAAATACTTGTAAAGGAGTGACTATAGGAATAAACTGTATCATCAAAGGGAATAACTTATTAAGTATATTGCATTTTGCTCTGCTGTGTCTTTATTTATACTCTACTTATGATTTAGGTTTGGGGTTGATACTTTGAGGATTCATTAACTCCTGCAGCCTGAAATTCTATTTTAGATTCAAGATCATTCTCATCATCAGAAAATTAGTCTACTATATACCCAACTGAGTGAGGCATAGTTTATGTCTTAAGATCTATCTCTATCGTTTAATTCATAAGGATTAAATTAGTTTATTACTTTATCCTGAGTTTATTAATATACATACCTATATAAATGCATTAATAACCTATGCTCGGGGTTTTGGGGTTTTGGGGTTTTGGGG